CCAGTTTGCTATGCTAGCAATTTCTTTATTTAGTAGTTAGACATTTGAATAAAGAACTCCACAGGCAAACGGCAGAAACAAAAGCTGTCGACATCATCCATAGGCAATGAATAAATGCTAACATCTAATACTATGTACATTATGACAGGGCATTTCTGGGTGCCAAAAATCAAACATAACTACAACCCAGCAACATGGATGTTAGAGGTCACTAGTCCTGCTGCAGAAGCTCAACTGGGTTTGGATTTTGCCCTTCTCTATAAAGAGTCTCACTTATTCCGGTAAGCTTTTCAGTGATAAATATTCAGTGGCTTGTCAATATGTCAAGATTTTGCTCTTATTGATACTTAATAATCAGTTCTGACACAAGTTGAACAAGAAAAAAGCTTTCAGCAGGCAGTGTTTCTGCTCTCTAAATTTTCTATATGAAACAAAGTGACATGCATTCCAATTTTTCTAGGAAAAACATGGAACTAGTCAGAAAATTGATCCAGCCAGCACAAGGTTCAAAGGAACTACATTTTTCTACACGCTTTCCACAAAATGAATGGGAGCAATTTAAGGCATGCCTCTGGAAACATCACCTCACATACTGGAGAAGTCCCAATTATACCTTGGCACGACTGGCGCTTGTTACCATATCATCTTTTTTGCTTGGAGCAGTTCTATGGCAGAAAGGGCAGAAGATGTAAGCCATCTTACAATATTCTGGTTTTACATATTTTATAGCCAGTACTCAAATGCCATGAATCACACAGCTTCCTAGAAAAGCTAAGTCTTCATCCACGTCAGTATGATTATGTTCTAGAGGTCATACTAGATGACTCAGAACAGGTTTACATTAACTGCTTTCAAAAGCCAGCTTCTTTTTATCAGGGCTGATAACAGCAAACACAAAGAAATAAATGAATTTTCTAGCCAAGGCCCCAAAAAATTTGCATAGTCTAATAAACTTAAGCTAAGCACAATTGTTGGTTTTATGGCATAAAAAATTTAGAAAAGTTTAATTCAAGGTGGATATATTTAGTGGTGCAAAATATCCAACTAGCACATTTATGTCCTATTGATGACCATTCACAAGAGTTTACTGCAATCACATCTCATTTCCTTTTTCTGCAACTGATAAGTTCTACTTTGAAAAGAAAATCCACATTTGTATCATGATCACAAACTAGATTGAGGAGCTTTGTGCAGAAGTAAAAACTTTGCGGGGGAAACAGAAAAGGGAAGTGGGGATGGAGTATATCAGGTTATCTCTGCATGCCATACTAGTTTATTACATTTCAACCTAAGTAATGAAATTCAGGTTAAATCTATTGCATCATGTGAATAATATGTTTTAATATCTGAAGAATGCATTGGCCATGAAACATGTAATTTACTTGTGTATACTGAGTGGCCAACCACAAAAAAAAAAAAATAAACTTCTTATTGTCCCCTACAATGTAACTAAAAGCAAGTCAATCCAAAAACAGGATCTAGAACTTTTTACAGCACAATGCTGGGGGTTCTTTATGAATAATCTAATTAGTGATTCTTGTTCTGTAGAGATGGTGGGCAGGATCTTCTTACCATATTGGCATCTGCATTTATTTTGATGCTAGTCATAGGAGGATCCTAACTGTTCATCTGTTATTCCATTCTTAGCTACTGAGATAACTGTTATCTATAGAGAAATGTTTACTGGAATGTATTCCTCATGGGTGTATTTAATGGCACAGGTCAAAAAGTTCATAGATCACCTGTTACTCCCGAATGGTCAATATTTAATTTTTAATCATATTGACTTGATTATGACCACATTATTTGTATTGTGCAGGTGATAATTGAAATCCCATATGTTTTCCTTCTAGCTGTTTTGTTTACAGCAATCACATATCCAGCAATAAATTTCTACTGGTCATTTTACGAAGTATTTTGGTACTTCTATACAATGTTTTGCACACTGCTCTTCTTCAGTTACTTTGGCATGCTGCTTGCCTCAGTGACCCCGACTTACCAAGTGGCTACGGTATCTGCAACTTTCTCCTACACCATGTTCAATTTATTCTGCTACGGTATCTGCAACTTTCTCCTACACCATGTTCAATTTATTCTCAGGGTACCTCATACTTGGACCAGTAAGGACACTTATCTTCTCTAGCTCAACATTGTGCTAAAAAGTTATTAGTCTAGCTTTTCTAACAAACCTATCAATTAAGTTTATGAGTTGCAATAGGCTTGGGGCCAAGGGGTTTGCTCCCCTTGTAGTCTCAGGTTTGAATCACAATAACGATTGCTAATACTGTTAGTCACGGATCGCAAGGCTTATCCTATTTCAAAAGCCTTGTTCGAGATCGGAATATTAGTCAAGGTACGCGTAAGCTGACCCGAATACCCTCAGTAACAAATATATATATATATAAGTCAAGGCATGTCATTCATCTTGAAAACCTCATTAAGTTTCATGGCGCTTCATCAGTTTTCTGACAAATATTACATGAACATATGACAACCCATGAGTTCCTCAGATCAGTTGTTTTCATACAGATGCCAAATTATTTGGAACTATGATGCAGATTAAAAATTCACAAATGTTGCACACTCCTGATTGCAGAAAATACCTAAATGGTGGATATGGAGTTATTGGATTTGCCCAACAGCATGGTCTGTAAAAGGTATTCTTACTTCGCAATGCGGAGATATAACAGAGGAAATCGCAGTGTATGGAGGGCGCAAAGCGATCAATGACTTACTGGTTATCGATACGATGATTTACTTATTGTAGGTCTTGTACTTAAGTATTTCCACAACTACTGCAATTGCTTTGCATACGCAATGGCAAAACTGAACTTCCAGAAAAGATAGAGACATGCTTCTCTCTCAGTCCCTAAACCTTCTAGTTTTGAACAATCTCGTTTCCTGTTTATTGCATGTATTCTTAAGAATTTCCAAATCATTTTGATATTAGTTATATTTTTTAATTCAACTTAATTCATCATATGTAGTCAACTTTTTTTTTTTTTTTTTTTTTGGACATGCATAACTTATACTGTTCTATCTAAATACAATCAACAACAATAGTTGAGTTTTGTATTAATAATATATATCCAGCACCTCAAATTTACAGAATCTAAAGCAACTCTAACAACAGTTAATACCAAATCAACAACTTTAATAGGTTTTCATGATTTCAGTAATAAGTTTGTTCACGTATTAATACAGGATGAGAGGTTGCTGTCTGTTGACCAATTCAGAACACACCAAAACATTGTTTCATTCCCCATGTGTTTTTCCAGTTCTATATGCACAGCCCAAACCAGGGAAAAAAAAAAAAAAAAAAAATTATGTATACAAACCAAACAAACAAAAAATGGGGTTGAAAAAAAAAAAAAAATTATATGTGCTTATCCAGTATAACATGCTACATCTTTATATTTTCTTTCTCATTGATAATAGCACTAATTTTCGTATAAATCGTATCTCCATTCTCCAAGTCTCCTACTAAGATAAATGACACTTAAGAACTTTCAGTGTATATTATGTAAAACTCCCTTATACCACATAAATCTAATTGACCAAGCCACATTCCAAGTTCACGACCACAAGGAATTATTACCATCTGAGAACCAAAAACATGCATTTATTCTAAAAGAGGATACCCCAATTTCATAAGGTGCAATTCCAAGACTACCTTGCAGCCTAAACCCAGTGCTTGCACAACACAAATCAGGAAAATTACGGCAAGGAATGAAAGGAGCAATTTATTTGTCCTTTTGGTTGTACAATTTGATAGTTCAAGATTACAGTGAATCAGTAAGATAGGAAATTCCACAGATGGTGTATGGGGTTGCCAAGCTTCATACACAGGTTGAGAGTCAGAATTCAAGAAGAGTAGAAATTCAGTTCAAAAACCCTATACACCAAGACAGCTTTAGGACATGACTATCATGAAAGAAGGTGCTTACTATTCATCCACCAAAACTTTAACAGTGATGCCAAATTAATAGCAAACTGCTTTTTGATCAATGTGCATGTGCTTACAAAAGCCATACTAAAAAAATAAATTTAATAAATCAAATAATATCATCATACAGGTTTTTGAGCCATGTTTGGAACATCAATTACAGATAGAGTTGAAACTAATACCTCTTATCAATTGCTTGAGCTACCAAGATCAAAGTCCATGGTGAATCATTCAATAGTTGGAATTACAGAGGCACACAATTTCAAGAATAGGAAAGGTACCTACAAAGTACATAATTAGAAGATAGACATATACAAATAGTAACCAAAAAAGCTAAAGGATCAGAAGAAAAATATATTAATAAAAAATATACATACATATGTATCCATATAAGCTGAAACCTGAAACTAACAGCCACTAACTTGTGAAAATTTTAATTCAAATAATGTTAAATTACTACTTTTCTATGCTTCTTGATCCTCAACCTTCCTACAACTTTCTGCAGGATAGTCATTGTAAATAGTGAACACTTCTATATGGCGGCAATTTCACACCATCCCTCAGCCTGAGTGGTAGCTACTCTTTCTCATGTTTTGAAACAGGGATGGAATATAGAAATAGTGGAGGTAGCATGAAATCAAATCATCTGCCAGGACCAAGTAGTTTAAGTCATTAATTGTGGACTTGACTATTTGTACGCAATCGTAAAATAGTTCTTTAAGTGGAAGCATATACAGATGTTTATATAGGTGAGTCTGAATGAAATCTGAATTTTCTTTCAATTTATGAGCTAAGATTGTCCTCAATGATATTAGTCGCTCCACTCCATGTAAATTAGAATTTATTTTCTTTTAATCACCCTCGTTGCATGAATGAGTGGATGCATACTAATTACAAAAAGTTTATCAGTAAGTGAGAGCTAATGCAATTGAATTTTGGATTGGATAGTAGTCAGTAGACAGTTTACATTGGAGATAATGTATGAATATAAAGGAAAATTCAACTCAAGTTTTTAATGTAATATGAGCCAAAAAAAAAAAAAAAAAAAAAAATTTACTTGTCAACTTCAGGCTCCACTCCACGTGACACTAAAACATCAATAATTTTCTTCATCACAGCACCATGTCGACATGGATGTATGGATGCTGCTTCCCAGGCAAGTGAGGATGGTCTTCGATGGTTACCTGTTATATAAGATTTACAGGGAAAAAACACATTTCAACAAAAATCTTAGATATATACATATGAAGTCACATTCAATGAAATAAATGAATGAACAACAAATGTCTTCACCACAAACAGTAGAGCAGAGAAATTTAAAAATGGTCCATATTTTGGGAAAGATTTTGAAAAGCCTATATCCTCCCGCCCCTCAACCCACAATAATACCTCCACTATATTTCAAATACGAAACACGAGATTCAAATCCATCTCCAATTGTTGATTAATACTCAATATTTTACTAGTAAATAACGTTATGTATTAAACATTTTATATGAAAATTCTAGTGGTTTCAGAAAAAAATGACACGTTTGAGGTGCAAGCAATATTTAAAAAAAGTAATGCCCCAAGACCTAGTACTTTGTGTCACAGCTTAAGAAATTATATTTAAAACAATATATTTGAGGTGCAACTAACATATGCCTTATCTGCATGATCGAATAAGGTATTGACATATTATGCTCTCAAGAACAGAACCCAAGATTTATTTTGCAACTAAGAAAATAATATTTACTACAGTAAAATTAATATTTTATCAATAAATCTTTCATGGTTTTCTATCAAAAAAATAAAGTGAAATTAGTAAACAATAATTTCCTAAATTTAATCTTCTCTATGATTACTCAAATTTGGGTGGCTTCAAATAATTTTAATCCCTCATAAAAACAATCGATCATTACCATTGTCATAAAAATTTCCTAGGACACAATACAAATCAGCCTCCAGTATTAAGGATAGAAAAGACTATGCTATAGCTTATTAATGGCTGATTTTTTAGTCATTGAATGAAATAAATGAAAAGCCACAATAAGAATACTCCAGTTGAAATTTTCACCGGCCACAGAACTCTTAAATAAAAAAGCAAAATTGTTAAACACACACAAAAGCCTCCAATCTCACCGTTTTGCGTGCATGGTCTTGACTAACGTCTTCAAGTACAAGCTCAGGTTGCAAAAGCATCCTTGACTGTGAAAACACCAAAAAAAAAGCTCAACCAGGTCAAATATAATTAGCTCAACAACTGAATTTAGTCAACATAAAAATGCAGATCAATTGTTTTCTTATACAACTTGATATTGTGTTAGGTTCAATTTTGTAGATTTGAAAAACCAAAATAAAGACGGGAAAAAAAGGAGCATCAGGACTGTGTTTTGGAGCAAAACAAGAAGAATTCATATCCCCAAGGTTAATACATATATTGTGAAGCATTCGTGGTAATACAAAATGTGTCACTGACTATAAGACGTAGTAGGAATCTTTTTTATTGCAAGTTTCAAGTCAAGAAGTAATTTATGCTACAATTGATTAGCCTTTACCGATTTGCAAAAGGAAGAGATGAAAACAGAGACAGTTTGAGAATAAAGGCAACTTGTCTCAGTTGAATGAGAAGAGAATCCATATATATTGACAAATACGATACAAATTAACTGACAAACCTCATCATATCCAGTAAGCCAGACACGAGGAGTTTGATAATATTTGTCATACCTGAAATAGATCATTAGCAAGCACATCAACAGTTAAATGACATTGTGGATTACACAATAATTTTACATCTTATCAATACATTTGGTCCTTCCAACATTCACAGGATGTTTATAAGCGAGAGATGAAGATAAATAATTTCAAAGGAATCATCAACCCATTCACCAGAAATCTCTCACATTGGAGATTTACAATTATTTTATGATTCTCATATTCGGTAGAAGCGGAATTAGACATGCATATCATCCAACATATAAAAATAAGGAAACTTTACTATCAATTCATCTTACGTGATGCTGACATCATAAGTACGAGTCCGGAGAATGTTATCATCATCAGGTTCATGAGCAACAAGATATGTAGGCTGAAGTGTAGCCTGCATTAATAGAAACAAAAAAAAAAAAAAGTTTCAGTTTTTTCTTCATATTAACTCACAGGTCAATAAATTTGGCCCCCTCTGCGGCATTCAAAAGTAAAATCAGATTACAACTACAGGTTCTTGAGGAAGCTATAAAATGATACTCCATTGGATCCAAAGGTCCATAGAAATTGCTATTCAACATGAAGAGGGAAGCAATGAGGGTCTCTTCTCAATAATCGTAGAGGAAGACCACTAAGAGGTTCCTCGAAGATAGAGTAAGAATAACCAGACCAATAATACAATAATCAGATACAGAGCAAGCACTCAACATGTGATGAATTGCCAAAGAGATTTTATTACATCTAACACAGCAAATGATGATTCATCATGGCAATCATCCATCTTTTAATAACCACTAGAAATTTACTAGAAAACAAGAAATCTGATATAATTAGTGTTATTTCACGTATGAAACCTATGACATAAACATAACCAGTAATGACTTACAGGATCTGCTTCGATTAGGCTGTTAGATTCTTCATACTCAGCCATGTCAGGAATATCTTCCTCTTCTTCTCCCCCAAAGTGGTTAGAAATAGATTGATGAACGTTACTATTCATGCTGATTTCTAGGGCCTCCATGGAAGGCAAGTTGTCATCATCATCCAGTTTATCTAGAAAAAATGAGAACAAATCAAATGGATAACCATAAATCACAACACACTCTGCATGCAACAGGACTAGGTAGAAATTTATGTAGATTGAAGAGTTGTCAGCAATTGTTGATACATATACAGAAGACATATGATAAACATTTTCCAACACTATGATTGATATAAATATTAGGGACCCATTATCTGACTTCTATATTAAGAAGATATTTTGGGAAAATATGTCATGCAAGAGCTCCTCATCCAAATGTACAGCTACTTTCACTTTAAAGATGTTAAATCTGAAGCCAATCCAAGTCATAAACATTGAAAACAATAGCAAGCATTGACAAAGATTTTAACCTCTCTTAAGAAAATAGAACGGAAACACACAAATTCATATATCAGTGTATGACATACAGTGGAGATGCCAAATCACACCCAATCAACGTCCACATTTCAAATTCCTTTAATTCCCTCACTTTCTAGGCAGCCCTTTTAATAGAAAATTTTGGGGGTTGTAATTCAACACGAGAGACAGGCAATGCCACCTCCAGAACTATTTAAAAATTTGGAACCACTAAATTCTCCAAACACATACACTGGTTGCCAATAGTTTCTTCTTACACTTTGGAGCAGCATTCAAATTTAAATTTGACACTAGACAACTACTCTAATCAGAAATAGTACCTTTCGGTTTCCCATGAGTCGCCAGCCACCCATCATTATCTTCATTATCAACCAAAACTTCACCTCCAGCACCTTCGTATTCTTCTTCTATAGATGCAGCTCTTCTTAGACATGGCACTGAAAAGCGATATCTTGATCAATTATTAACAACATAAACACAAACACAAGCTCATTCAGAGTACATTTCATCCTATATTAACCTCAACAAAATTTCTTTATTCAATCATAACTTATATTAAAAAATATAAATTCCCAAACATTTTTGCGCTGAGTAAATACCAAATAAGTTACTCCTTTGCATATTATTGCTTGTATTCAAAATTTACAACGATACAATCGATTTGATATTCGTTGCAAATTAAAGTTGATTCAAGAAAAATAATGTAGAAATTTACCGTTTCTAGTAATCAAAAACTGTTTTTCCGCTGGTAAATACGACTTCCTCTTGCTCGGCTCGCCAGATTCCCTAACCGAATTAAAAAAAAAAAAAAAATTTGACGGAACAAGAATCGATTATAATAATTAATGAAGTCCAGTTAAATTATTAATAAATTAAGAATACCAGGACCACGTAGGGCACTTAGAGACGAGATTATCGCCGGCAAGAATGAACTCGCTAACGCTAAGAACGCCTTTTTCTTTGAAGGCAGAGACGGTCCGAGGAGCGGTGATTCTCTCAACGGTTCCTTTGAATGCTTCGTGAATTCTCTGTGAGAGTACCATTTTTCTTAAACTCGAAATTGATTAGCAGAATAATTTAATAAGGAGGAATCCCTAATCCGAATTGCCGAGGAAAGGAGAAAGGTAAAGTTTGTATTTTGTTGGAAGAAGCTTCAAGTTTCGATATTTTATATTTATATATTCTCACCCATCTACTTTTTAATGCGAGAAGGATGGAATATCTCCCAAGAAAAAAAAAAAGGACTGTTTAGATGAAAATTATTAATTCAAATAAATAATAGTTTTGACTATATTATCAAAAATTAATTTTTTTTCATTAAATGATAATTAAGTGAATAATACTAAAAGTAGAAACTAATTCATATAATCTAAATTTTTATAATATAATTGAAAGACTTAAAATTAAAGATAAATAAGACAAATTAAAATCCATTGCTACATAAATCTTTTATTATAATTTGTATAATAATTTATTTTTTTGATAATCGAAAATGTTTGAGTCAGCTTACGCACACTTCAACTAATTCTCTGATAACTTGAAACTATTGATCAAGTAAGAGTTCCAGTTGTTTTTGTATAATAACTTTGTATATATAATATTACTCTTTAAATATTTAGAGTTATCATAATTGGTTCAAATTAACTTATACAAATTGATATTTTATAATATAATTGAAAGACTTAAAATTAAAGATAAATGATACAAATTAAAGTGGATTGCTACGTCAATTTATATAGAATAATTTGGATAATAAGTTTGTACATGAAAAAATAACTCGTTAAATATATAGAGTTATAAAAAGAGAAACTTCAAATTCAAATAATTGCCAGCACATTGATCCTAAAAACTTCAAATTCAAATAATTGCCAGCACATTGATCCTAATGTTAAAAACAATAACGATTTGTAATACATTAAACAGTTGCAGGCTAGATACTGAATATTACAAATACAGTAAAACTTCTCTATAGTCATAATGGTGGGACTAACTAATTTTATTACTATAAGGAGGTTATTATTTAATAGATGTGTACTTACAAAAAAAAAATTATTTTATTATTCATATTTTAGTAGTACAGTATTAAGATTTAAACTTATGTTTTAATTGTATTAGGATTTCAAATTCAACGCTTCAATTGCCTACTTTTGTAACGGATAGAAGATCATGTCTTAGAACTAACAAATATAAGTGTCTTTGATAGAATTATAAATGCAGTTGCTGCATGGTAAATTGATATGAAATCACAGATAATTGTCAATTGTTTTAAACATTGCAAGATTAGGACTTCTGATGTCGATAAATTGCAAGTTACAAATTGAGTGGAGGAAGACAAAAATAGAAAGGAAATAATCACGAGTATGATAGTACAGAGATACAAAAAATTCCGTGCCAAAAAACTCTAAACATACTTGAGATGTTAGAAATATTTTGGCTTTAATAAGAAGATGTTTATGCTAGTGAGTAATATATCCGTAAGTTAAAAGATGTGGTATCAACTCTAAAATATAAATCATTGTCCCAAACAATTTTAGATAAATATTTTATTTCATCTTAAAACTTTAATGTAATATAACATATATATTTTTACAATATAAAGATAGTTATTACTATGTGGAGGTAACTTTCCTTAAGATAAGAATTAAAAAAATTATAATTTATTACAATGAGAAGTTTATTCTTATTTATAACTATCCCAAAATGGGAATATAATTTTTTATGACTATGTAGAGTTTATTCTTATATAGAGTATCACTGTAGAAATGTTATACTGTATTTAATATATAATTAAAATGTTAAGTGAACATTGTAATAGTGAAAAAATATGGCTCTCTGGTTGGTTTTTGGGAATACTATTATTAGTATTTCCAAAAAAGTTAAACAGGAAAATGCCCAAAAACTCACAATATGATCCAATATTATTTAACTTTTTTTAAACCCCTTAAATTTGTTAATTTAATTAAATACCCCTAAATATTTTTTTTTCGAAATTGCAAAAACACCCATAAACCCACATTATACCAGATTCTGGCCATCACTGCCGGAAGTTGGTCAGAATCTGATATAATGGTGCACTATCTGCTAAATCTGGCCAGTAGTGCGCCGATCTAGTGGATCTGGCCTGAAAAGGCCAGATCTTTGGCCGTAACCAGATGTCAACGACTTGTTGACCATCAACGATGGCCGTCTCTTTGGCCGGCAAAGGCCATATCGGCACACGATTGGTAAGATCCAGCCAGTCATGTGTCGATACGACGACTTCAGCCACCCTCCGGCTGTGATTATTCAATGGGTGGGTTGGGGGTATTTTTGTTAACTTTTAAAATTTTATTATAGGGGTGTTTAGTAAATAAACAAACATAGGGAGTATTTTTATTAATTTCTAAATCCTACATCGTAATACCAGCTCAATTCAACTTTTTTTAACTTTTTTCAAAAAACTTTTCAAAAAAATGCAAAAACATTTTATGACCATATAGAGTTTATTCTTATATAGAGTATCACTATAAAAATGTTATACTGTATTTAATATATAATTAAAATGTTAAGTGAACATTGTAATAGTGAAAAAATATGTGTCGGAGTACATAGAATGACATACGGACATTCTTATCTTTTGGCTTATTCTATGATTTTGGATCATGTTTACTTGTCGGAATTGTATTGAAAATTAAAGAGAAATGGAAAATGATAAATTTTCAAATAGTGAATCAAGTATGGAGTGAATAATGATTCAATTATTTACGTATAAAATTGAATGATGAGGGAATGGAACGATATATGTACTAAATGACAAAAATACCCTCAACATTAAAATATTCAATGTAAGTTAAAAATTATTATTATATTTTTTAAGTAAAAAAACTATTTTTTTTTTTTAAGTCAAAATGTAATAGCTGATCAACTATAGTCAATTCCAATCAATGGTGGTCAACCATTGATCAACGTCGGTCAACCACCGGTCCACTGCATTCAACTATTCAACAAATATCAACATTTACAAATACCCATTTTAATAATCACCAAATTATAAAATAATAACTGTTGAATTAAAAAATCTTTAAAAGAAAAAATAGAAAATTTTAATTCAAAATAGTGTCAGAAAAGCAATTTCATTGGATCCCCTACCCCAAGAATTAATCCTTTACCTATTTTTTATGAATTAATCATTTAAAACTGATTAAGTTTGAAATTGGTTATAAAATAATCAGATTTATAAAAGAATCATAAAAGGTACCTAGTAGCTTTTCAAAATCATATATTATTTCTTAAACTAATTATATACATGTACAATATCAAAAATACCCTTGATTCCTTGAACAATAAATGCAAATGTTATTTGAATTTATATTGATAATTTATTAAATTACTATTGATTAAACAATTATTTTATAAAATTAAAAATTAAGAACGAAGAGTATGAAATAGTTGCTAGAACACCACCGGTAGTACCCGCTAGCGCCTGTCGTTGGTGGCACATTTGGCAACATTACTGGCATCAAAATGTGGCCTATCACAATGCCGAAAGTTGATGGAATCACCTGTATCACATAGATCAGCTTTTACCGATTATTTTGATGTTGGTGGTGTCACTGGACATGCCACTGACCAAAGTTTCTAGCGACCACCATTGGTGGTGGTTTGGCAACTCTTTCGATATATTTTGATTATTTTTTTATATTAGAGTTGTCTTTATTTAGAGTTAAAGATGTTTTGAAGATAATTGCACTAATTACCGAATAACTTATTAATACAATTTTATATTTACAATTTTTATCAGAGCTTCTACATGAATAAGAAAATACTAGTTTGCATATGTAATTTATATATAGAGCAAACGACATAATCCCACCCAAGGTTTGCCTTAATGACCCTTTGCCACCCAAAAAGTTTCAAAATATCACCTTTCCACCCAAAGTTAATATTCCATTACTACCCAAAGCTGATTCCAGTGGCAAAAATTCTCTTCGTCATCACCATTCAAACCTTTGGTTTCCTCTCTACAAAACCTCTCTCATTGTGATATCTAATTTCTCGCTAATTACAGTCTACCGCAAAGCTAGAGTTTCCTGTTCTTAGTTAATTTTTGACTGATTCTGGCGACGAATACTCTATCGGTCACCACCATTTGATCCACTAACCTCCACTAATGTTACTTTTATAATTAATTTTTGTATTTTTATAACCAAGTGGTCTGGGCCAATTTATGCACATCTCAACTAATCCTTGTCTTCCTAGGGCTCATTGAACACCCTACAAACCCAATGTTCCAAGGTAAATCACAAATGCAGTAGATGACCCCAAGATAGTTTGAACCTAGGAAGTCAATAAAAGGAGCAAACTTTATTGACTGCCAAATCAATCTCTTGAGGTTCAATTAAAGACTTTTTCTGAACCACAATTAACCAGAATTATCTAAATGTTACTTTTAGATTGTATGGTTGAATTAAGTTTACTTATGACAAACCTAAAAAAAAAAACAAAAAATAAAAAAAGCATTTAACTCTATTCGACCATGATAGAAAGAAACAGAAGAATAAACAAAAGCAGAAAGGAGTGACTGAAAATGTTGGATTGTGTTCCCGATTCTTTACCAAAATTGATCAGAGTTTCCAAAGCTAGTATACTTATAATCTTATTGTTGAGTGAAGCTTCAAACGCTGTCGTTTTGAAGATTTATTAAGTGACAGATCTCAGCCTTTGGTTTTCAATCTAATCCAACGGTGCAAATGAGGCCTTGAAGTCAACATATATATAGCTTAAATTTTCACATAAATGCAAAGCAGCCTTTCATCCTCTCTATTGCATTTTTCATCTTTGCTAGGTTTTCATTCTTAGTTTGGTTAATCTTCAATTAGTGTAATCTGTTGCAGTTTATTGGGTAAATTGTGAGTAGAAGAAGTGTTAGATTCTTCTGATTGGGACGCTTGTAGTAGTTGTCTTTTTTGAGAGTAGATTACGGAAAATTGAAGGTTGGATGATTATGGGTTTTGAGTGGCTGTTCTTGATTGAATTGTAATCTGTAATTGGATTGATCCTTATAGTGCATGAGCCTCCATTTTACTTGGAGCTCAACGTGGATGTAGTTTACTCCTTTGGGATAAACGAACCATGGTAAAATTGGCTGTGTTCTTGATTCTTTATTCTTTATTGTTTGTGTTGTTTCTTGAGTGTTTGCTGGTTGTGTTTGATAGAGGAATAGGTTAGGTTGAGTTTGATTCATTCTTAACAGTGGTATCAGAGCGAGATTAGGGTTTTCGGTCTAATTTGAGTGATTCTTGAAACCTAGGGTTTATACAAATTGGGGGTTTCGGTATAATCAGTCAAATTAGAGGCTTAGGGTTAAGAAAACCTTAGATTATCCAGTCAATTTCTTGAAATCAGTTCCAAATTCGATCCTAACTAAATTAGGGTTTCTTCTGTGTCAACCCTAAATTCAAACACCAGCCCCAAATCTAAACACTATGACTAACACACGAGTTGAAATCACCCAATTTGATGGGAAAATTGATTTCAATAGTTGGAAAAAGAAAATGAAGGCCTTGTTATCTCATAACAAGGTAGCCATTGCACTGGAAAAGGACGTGACCAAATGGTCAGAGGAGAAACTGAAAAAGAAGGCAGAGCTGGAGGAGGAGGCGTACAATCTGATAATCATGAACCTCTCCGATGCGGTCCTGCGAAAGGTAGACGGTTTTGAAACTCCGACAGCGGTATGGGGTAAACTTGAATCTCTTTATGCATTACAATCTGCTCCTAATCTAGCGTACTTAAAAGGTGTTTTATTTGCATATAAAATGGATAGCTCTAGGACTATTGATGAGAATATTGATGAGTTCTTGAAACTGACCCAAGTGTTGAAGGGTACAGATCAAGAACTCGGAGACTCGAGTTTAGCTATGATTCTTTTGAATTCTTTAATTGAAGATTACCAGGTTGTAAAAAATGCCCTCCAATATATTGGTACTGTCCCAAGCGTAGATTTAATAGTTTCAAGGTTAAAAGCTAGGGAATTAGAGATTAAACTGTAGAGAAGAACTGGTAGTAATCTTTTTGCTAAAAGAAAGGGTGATTTTAATCAGATTAGTAATTCTGTCTAGTCTGATAGTGGGCCTAGGAATAAGAAAAAAGGAAAACAAAACCGTAAGGCCAAAGGAGAAACCAGGAAGTGTTTCTTCTGTAACAAGGCTGGCCATTTGAAAAAGAACTATTATGCCTGGCTTAAGAAACAGAAACAAGGGAATACTGAAAGCAACCTAGCAACCTCTAAGTCCAGTTTAGAAGAATCTGAAGTTTTAACTGTTTCTAAAACAAAAAAGATAAATGAGTGGGTAATGGACTCTGGGTGCTCTTTTCATATGAGTCCCAACAAAGATTGGTTTCAGGACTATGAGGAGAATAGGTTAGAAACTGTCTGCATGGCGAATAATAATGCCTGTAGGGTTGAAGGGATAGGCAATATCACATTAAAACTAAACAGTGGAAAAACTATCAAGTTGACTAAAGTGAGGTACATTCCAGAATTAAAAAGAAACTTAATTTCATTAGGTGTCTTAGATGAATCTGGCTGTAGTTATAAAGCTGAAAATGATTGCCTTTATGTCTATAAGAATAACTGTGTTTTGTTTGAAGGGATAAAAAGAAATGGCTTGTATATTCTGTCTGGATCCTATTATGCTGATTGTTTAAATTCTGCTTTGGTTTCTACTAACTTGAATGTTACTGAAAATGGCACTTAAGACTAGGCCATATGAGCCAAAAGGGCTTGGACATCCTCCATAAGCAGGGCATGTTTGGTAAGTACCCAATTAAACCTCTTGAATTTTGTGAGACCTGCATTATGGGCAAGCAACATAGGTTGAGTTTCCACTGGCTGCCAACTGCTTAGAATATTTGCATGCTAACTTGTGGGGACCTGAAAGGGTCAAATCACACGGGGGTAGTAGTTATTTTCTGTCCATAGTAGATGATTATAGTAGGAAGGTGTGGGTTTTCTTACTTAGGACTAAGGATGAAGCTTTGGGTAGGTTTAAGAGTTGGAAGGTTCTTGTAGGGAACCAAACTGACAAAAGGATTAAAACCCTTAGAACAGACAATGGCTTAGAGTTCTGTAACTTGGAATTTGACTCATATTGCACAAAACATGGCATCCTAAGACATAGAACTGTTAGGAGAACCCCTTAGCAGAATGGGGTTTCTGAAAGAATGAACAGAACCCTTTTAGAGAAGGTGAGATGCCTTCTCTTTACATCCAGCCTTCCTAAGTCATTTTGGGGAGAAGCCCTAAACACAGATGCCTACCTTATTAATAGAAGTCCCTCAAGTGCCATCAGTTTCATGTGTCTTGAGGAAAAATGGAGTAATAGGAAACCTAGTCTAGGACACTTGAGGACATTTGGATGTGTTGCATACGTCCATAACAGTGAAGGGAAATTAGACCCTAGGTCACTTAGATGTGTCTTCCTAGGTTATCAAGAGGGAACCAAAGGGTATAGGCTTTGGGATAGAAGTACCCCAGGAGTCAGAATAATAATCAGCAGAGATGTAATTTTTAATGAAAATATATTTCCTTGCAAAGTTGCTAACCCTGATGCAGGATCAACAAGCATCAATCCCATGAACCAGGATCAGCCTGAGAGAGTCCAAATTGAGGTGGAGCCTGCTGAAATTCAACCTGATTTGGAACATCAGGAAGCTGAAGCAAATGAACCAGATCTGGACCCTGACTTGGAAGAGGAAAATGTAACAGAACCTGCTGAACCCCATCCTGATCCTTTAGCTCAGTACCAGCTAGCCAGGGATAAAAGTAGGAGAGAAATCAGGCCACCATCAAGATACTCCTATGCAGACTTGATTTACACAGCCCTGGTGGCAGGGGCTCAAGTTCAGAGGTCAGAACCCGACTGCTATGAAGAAGCAGTTAGATCCAAAGACAGAGCACAATGGCAAGCTGCAATGGAGGAAGAGATGCTATCCCTTAAGGTAAATGGAACCTGGTCTTTGGTTCCAAATCCCAAAGACCAGAAACTGGTTGAGTGTAGATGGCTATTCAAATTGAAGGAAGGTATAACCTCTTCTGACCCTCCTAGATATAAGGCCAGGTTAGTAGCCAAAGGCTACACACAGCGGGAGGGAATAGACTTTAACGAGATATTCTCCCCCGTTGTGAAATATAAAACCATTAGGATCATGTTAGCCATTGTTGCTCATAAGGACCTAGAATTAGAACAGTTGAATGTCAAGACTGCCTTTTTGCATGGGAATTTAGATGAAAAAATTTACATGAGACAGCCCATAGGATTTGTAGATAGAAACATGCCTAACCATGTATGTTTACTTCACAAATCTTTATATGGACTGAAACAGTCCCCTAGGCAGTGGTATAAACGTGTTGATGCATTTATTCTTAGTATTGGCTTCAATCAAAGCAAATATGAAAGCTGATCTATTATGCCTTATATGATGATATGCCTTCGTATTTGTTACTATATGTTGATGACATGCTTTTAATTTGCAAGTCTAAATCTAGGATAGAAGAGTTAAAGGAAAAATTAAACTCTAAATTTGATATGAAAGATTTAGGACATGCAAGAAGGATTTTAGGCATGGTCATAGATAGAAACAGAAAGCATAATGAACTGAAGGTGCATTAGACTTCATATTTGCAAAAACTGGTGACCAAATTTGGCATGACAGGTTCTAAAGTAGTAACAGTACCTTTGGCTGGACATTTCATGTTAAGTAAGAGTCAATGTCCCAAAACAGATGCAGACTTAATAAAAATGGAAAACATCCCTTATGCAAACGTAGTTGGGTCAGTAATGTATGCCATGATTAGTACCCAACCAGACCTTTCTTTTGCAATTTCCCTCTTAAGCAGATTTATGTCAAACCCTGGTTTTGAACATTGGCTTGCTCTTAAATGGCTTTTTAGATATATCAATAGTTATGTTCATGTGGGCTTGAATTATGGAAAAAGATATGACTCACTTGATCTGGTAGGGTTTGTAGATTCTGACTTTGCAGGTGACAAGGATTCAAGGAAATCAACCACGACATACGTGTTCACCTTAGGAGGAAATTGTGTGAGCTGGAAGTCCCAACTCCAGCCAATTGTTGCCCTATCAACAACTGAGGCAGAGTATGTGGCTGTAACTGATGTTTTCAAGGAAGCTTTATGGCTCCAAGGGTTACTGTCAGAGGTTAATCTGCTGGAGGGTACTATTATAGTCTATTTAGACAGTCAAAGTGCTATACACCTGAGCAAAAACCCCGTGTACCACGAGAGAACCAAACATGTTGATGTCAAATACCATTTTGTAAGGGAACTGGTGGATAAAGGAGTGATCATTCTGAAAAAAGTGTCAATCGAGGATAACCCTTCAGATATGGGAATAAAGGTGGTCTCTCCAACCAAGTTCAAGCACTGCTTGAACCTGTTGCATATTCAGTAAAAGGCAGCAACCGAGCTATGATGAGTAACTTGTGGGTGAACTGCACTGATAAGGTATTTGGTCCTGGTCAGGTGTTGAAGCTTCAAGGTGGAGATTGTTGAGTGAAGCTTCAAACGCTGTCGTTTTGAAGATTTATTAAGTGACAGATCTCAGCCTTTGGTTTTCAATCTAATCCAACGGTGCAAATGAGGCCTTGAAGTCAACATATATAAAGCTAAAATTTTCATATAAATTCAAAGCAGCCTTTCATCCTCTCTATTGCATTTTTCATCTTTGCTAGGTTTTCATTCTTAGTTTGGTTAATCTTCAATTAGTGTAATCTGTTGCAGTTTATTGGGTAAATTGTGAGTAGAAGAAGTGTTAGATTCTTCTGATTGAGACGTTTGTAGTAGTTGTCTTTTTTGAGAGTAGATTACGGGAGATTGAAGGTTGGATGATTGTGGGTTTTGAGTGGCTGTTCTTGATTGAGTTGTAATCTGTAATTGGATCGATCCTTATAGTGCAGTGAGCCTCCATTTTACTTGGAGCTCAACGTGGATGTAGTTTACTCCTTTGGGATAAACGAACCACGGTAAAATTGGTTGTGTTCTTGATTCTTGATTCTTTATTGTTTGTATTGTTTCTTGAGTGTTTGCTGGTTGTGTTTGATAGAGGAACAGGTTAGGTTGAGTTTGATTCATTCTTAACACTTATATATCCCTTTTGCTTATTTAGTTAATTTTACTTTATTTGGAAAAAGGATAAAATTTATATGGCTCAAAGTAACCTCTATTGATTTACGTAATTGGAAGTAACCAATTAGGTTTACCACGAAACCTAGAAATCGATCAAATCCAATTTGTGAAAATTGCATCTTCATTTAGTGTGCGATCAGATTGTATGTAAAATTGATGAATAATATAGCAAAAATAAAACGATGTATATTTATTAAACTGAAAGTTTAAAACCCTCTACATTAATATTTACCCAACAGATAATCCCAGCTGGATAATTCTTCTTCAAACTCAAATAATCCCGTATCAAATTCACCCTCTACTTCCTCCCATGAATCGTAACAAAACTCATAGCTACTGTTACCACTTGCTTCAACACAGAGATCCGGAAGATCAAACAATGCACGATCACTCTCTTCTTCTGATAAACACTGGAACGACGACGACTCTTCATTTTTACAAGGCGCCATCCCATTCTGGCTAGACTCAAACGTGGCAGCGGCAGCTTCAGAAGCTGCAGCCTGAATATCTTTAGGCGCAACACTAGCCGGCCGGGGAAGCCGGTGAGCTAGTTCGGGAAAATTCAGGTGAGCCAAGTGACCCTTTATAGCCAGAGAGGCAACATCATGGGCTCGAGCTGCCATTTCTGCAGTAGGGAAACTTCCAAGCCAAATTCTTGATTTCTTCCCGGGCTCACGTATTTCAGACACCCATTTGCCCCAGCTTCGCATTCTCACGCCCCGATATGTCGGATATTTGAGGCTCAGGCTACTGCTGCACCTTGTTTCATTATCACAGTTATTGATCTCATCATTTTCAATTACGGTACTTGTTTGTTTGGCGCTATTTGATTTTTTCTTTGTAGAATTAGCCTTAGAGTGAGTAATTGTTGATGAGTTGCTGGAGCTGGAACTTGATGAAGTGGACATTTGGATTCAGAATCCGTGGATGATATTTGATTAAATGGTGAGTTTATGCTGAAATTAAGTTTGTAGCCTTTTTATATCCTCTAGATTCGGCGTATTGCAACCTTGTACTGTAAAAAGAATAGATGCATGGTTTTCATACAGATTTGTATCTTGTGTTCATTGAAGTCAATTTTGTATTTATCTTTATATTTTTATTATTTTTTTTTAAAAAGATATGTAATCAAAATACATATATATGAAGTTAAGTAATACTATATATACAACATTTCTCATATAACATTATGTGACTAAATATGATGGATTGATTTTAAATTAAAATTAAACTTTTACCCAATCATTTTTTACCATATAATGTTGTATGTGAAATATTATTTTATGAAGTTAATTTGGTAGGATCGCGTTATTAAGGTGATCAAAATACTTTTCTAGTGGGTGATATTGCCTATTTGCCTGCCTACCCTTGTAAATCCAAGTCACAAACCATGTCTACCCGATGTAGAATAATCATTCAATTTATCTCATTAGATTGAAAAGATGTTTTAATTTGCATATGAATCTAATAGTATATAAGTATGATCACGATGATCCTTACATTTATTTTGTCGGACATCCTGACTAAAGAATTATTCTGTACTGTATATATATATATATATCGTTAGTTCTCTGATTAGGACGTCCTAATTTTAATTTTGTCATGACCATGTTTAGATATTTATTCACTCATTAGACTGAAATCATATTTTATAATAAGAGTCTAACAGTAATTAAGTTTGGTCTTAATATAATTAAATCAAAAAGTTGGAATATATATAAATATATTCACTAGTCTGGACCATCCTAATATAATTATATCCAAACATTACTTCAATACTGTTGGATCCACTCATTTAACTGAAATAATATTTTACATATAAGGATCTAATAGTGAATATATGTGATCCTGATATAATTATATTAGGACAGTTAACACAATTCTCTAGTATGGACGCCCTATGTTTATTTGTAAGAACCATGGTTGAATGTTATTGGATTCATCTGCAAATTATCTCTTAGAGTTCAATGATTATGAATCTAGCTCGTAGCATTTAAGTATTGAAAACGATACATGAATCTCGTAGCATTTAAGTACTGAAAACGATACTATATTATTGTAGGGTTTTTTTGTTTTTTTTTGGTTGTTTTATTCAAGAGTAACGAATAAATTCTCTTTAAAATTGAAATGACATTTGAAACAATCAAGATCGCATATAATTGTGTGGTTACCTCACCTGTTATTTATTATCTGGCAATTAAAGCATATTTGAATGTAGCCAAAATATCTATAACCACTTTTTTCACATGCAACTAAACACTCGGCCCTCATTAATGCCGTATCAATCAATAGTTTGGTGATAGAAGGTGAAAGATGGAATATATGGAAAATGATGCTTGTGATACTATAATACGTATATTCATATTTTATAAAAAAAATTTAATCAAATTGAAAACAAGGAAGCTATAACTTGTTACCTCAATTCCTTAGTAACCTTGAAGACTTTTAATTTCAAGAGAAATTAACCAAAGAGTATCCATATTAAGACAAAAGAAGAATTAGGTCAAAAGAGACATTTAAGGTTCTTAGAAATTTTGATTTCTATCCTAAAATTGATATATCATTTTTTTTTATATATGTAGCCTTGTAAACAATTCAATAATTGTTTTGGACTTCTTTAAACAATTCCATAATTGTTTTTGGAGTTATAAATAATTCCATAATTATTATGAAGTTGTTAAACTTCTTTAAATAATAACATTGGACTAACATTTAATTACAATTAACAAATTAACTCTTAAATTATTTACATAACAATTTAATCCTTAAATTGTTTATATGTTTACAATTACAACCTATTATTAAATCCAATTTAATATAAAGAAAATGATTAATTATGAATTGGAATTCTAATTAACAATTTAACTCTTAAATTATTCATAATAACTAATATAACCTTCCATGGAATCTAATTCAATGATAATAATATAAATAACTTTATTACCCTTGGTAGGTGTTAGCCAACCTTGGACAATCAACTCTCTTTGGCCATTTCTCAATTCTCCTTAGTTTTTATATGTGACAGCTTAGGTTCATGGTGGCCTAGCCATGGGCCTAATATCATAGTCTACTTCGATATGTTTTGTCATAAATATTTATGAACAAAACTCCCATCGATTATGGTAGGCATCTAGCAATACTCCATAACCCCTAAGTCATAATGAAGATATATTCTAGCAAACCCTTTTATAATCATACGCGATGTATAACCAAATCCTTTCATTGTCTAATCCTAATTAAGAATGGATTCATGATATGTCAAAATCCTTATCTTAATTTTATATCAAATTGACAATCAATACATATGGAACGTGTCACCATGAAACAACCTTTTAAGTAACATTTTATATACCTCGGCCGGAGATTTCCCTTTTCCAATGTATCTTAACATTTGTCTAGGAACTTGATATCCATCTATACCAAGTCAACGGATCTCATCTTGACTATCACTTGTCCTCACACATAAACAACACATAGCCAAATCGGCTTATTAACATATGACATGATTAGTCTCGTGTTTATTCACCATATGAACCATATGCGTTTATGCATAATCCAACCATTATATCTCAGGTCTAAGGATTAATAATACACTAGTACAATTTTATGATAAATCATTGACTACATTTTAAATGTCCATGTGATTCATCATAAATGGTTATATTCGATAAATAGTTCACTAACCGCGTATCCATGCTAATGCCCTAGTGATATAACTTTTATACTCACCCACACTAATATCATCACATGATACTCTACGGAGGCATTCAACATACTTACTATGTAATATTATTGCCCAATTAATATTACCTACGTAAGGAATACTTTGATGATTTTGATTTTCTAAAGATTTGTATCATCTGAACATTTCACATGTAATACATATATATAAATGAAGCAATAAACCATATGTGAAATAATAACACTTTCTTCTATTGATAAGATAAATTGTATATACAAAACATAATGCATTGGAACCGACGACACGATTGGTTCCTAGGGCATACACTAACAGAAGAAATGTCCGATTCACATCAACTCTCTATCCAGTAATCTCAACCGACCCATCAATTCCTTTTTTGAAGATAAGACCCTCACGAATTCAATAAAAAAAAAAAAAAAAAAAAGGAAAGACATACTACTAGAAAGAGACTGACTTGACATTCTCTAAGAACACCAAGCACTTGTAATATCATATTGCAGTTCGTGACCTCTTGTAATCTTGTCTAACGACTAGGAACAAATTTATATAAAAAAACACAGTGG